TCCCAGCTACTCAGGAGGCTGAGGCAGGAGAATTGCCTGAACCCAGGAGGCGGAGGTTGCGGTGAGCCGAGATCACTCCATTGCACTCCAGCCTGGGTAACAAGAGCGAAACTCCGTCTCAAAAAATAATAATAAAAAAATAAATAAAATTTAAAAAAATAAAAATAAAGAGTTTTGAACAAAGAAGGTGCAGACTCAAGCAAGCACTCAATACCCAGGGTGGCAGGAGCTGGAGCTTGACAGTGGCAGGCTGCTGAGGAAAGGAACCCACCTTTCTGGCTGGTTGAAGTCAGAGGTGCTGACACCCCTGCCCCAGGTGGCTGGAGATGGCAGCCAGGGCTGCTGAGGGCCTTAGCCCTTTCTCTCCTTCCACAGGCCCCGCCACTCAAAACGGCTATGGACCAGGTAGGAGTGGGGCTGCGGTTTGGGGAGGCCTAGAGCTGGGGCCCCAGGTTCCTCACCTGCTCCGTGTCTCTCCACCAGGCTATGTTGGGGGTGTGAAACCACAGAAACCAGGTGAGCCTTGCCGCGGCCTGTCCCTCTGCCTCCCCAAACCCTGAGCTCCCTCCCCTCATTCATACCCGCCTTGATCTATTCCCCCAGGATTGTAGTATGGGATTGGGCTGGGAGCCCAGCCAGGTGAAGGGGATAGAGTTTGGGGTTCCAGGGTCCACATCTGGGTGGCCTTTTCCTCCCAGGGGTGGGACTGGTGAATGATGGAGAGGGGTGGGGGGGGCATCTCCAGGATCACTGGCTTCTGGCTTGGTCTTGGAGGAGAGCTCTAGGCGCTGTGCCCCCAGCTTAGCTCAGCCCTCCCTCCCCGACAAGCCCCCCAGCTCAGAATGGCCACAGAGCAGGTCCTGAGAGGATGGAGGAGCTAGGGTCTCGATGCTGGGGTTCTGGGGTAGATGTGAGCTGGGGGCTCCTGGGTACCTTATCTGCTCCCCATTTTCCTGAAGTTTAGAAGGGGTGTGAAGGCAAAGGGGCCAGGTGAGCCTGAATCTCCCCTGAGCTTCTGTCCCTCCAGCTCTCAGAGCCCTCTTCCCCCTCTCATCCTCACCTCCATCTGTCCCCCACGATTCGGGAATGGGAGTGGGAATGGGCTGGGTGCTCAGCCAGGTGAGAGAGGTAGGGTTTGGGGTTCTGCCCCTGGGGTGTCCTCTTCCTGCCTCCCTCCCCAGTCTCACGGGGGTGCTGAGCTGCTGAATAACTGAGGGCAGCTGGGAGGAGGCCTCCAGAATTCCCTCACCTCCACCTCAACCAAACCCCAAATCCCCACACCACCCTCCTCTCCCCACAGTCTTGACAGCCCAGAATGGATTTGGATTTGGAGCAGGTAAGAGCAGGGGTAAGGAAGGACCCGGGGAAACTGTGGGTGGGGCCCCTGAGTCGCTCACGGGCCTCATATCTCCTCCAGGCCTTGGCGAAGTTGTAAAGCCTCTGAAGCCAGGTGAGCCCTGCCCTAGTCTGCCTTTCTATGCACGCACTCCTGAAGCCATGAGCACCCGGTTCATACTCCCTCTCCTTCTCCAGGATATGGGAAGATGCTGGGAGCAGGGGCCTTCCCTGGGGCCAGAACCCAGCCAGGTGATGACACCTGGGGCAGGAGCCCAGCCTTTTTTATTTTTTATTTATTATTATTATTATTTTTTTTTTTTGAGACGGAGTTTCACTCATGTTACCCAGGCTGGAGTGCAATGGCGCGATCTCGGCTCACCGCAACCTCCGCCTCCTGGGTTCAAGCAATTCTCCTGCCTCAGCCTCCTGAGTAGCTGGGATTACAGGCATGCACTACCATGCCCAGCTAATTTTTTGTATTTTTAGTAGAGACGGGGTTTCACCATGTTGACCAGGATGGTCTCGATCTCTTGACCTCGTGATCCACCCGCCTCGGCCTCCCAAAGTGCTGGGATTACAGGCTTGAGCCACCGCGCCCGGCTTATTTTTTATTTTTTGAGACAGGTCTTGCTCTGTCACCGAGGCTGGAGTGCAGTGGTGCAATCCCGGCTCACTGCAAACTCTGCCTGTCGGGTTCAAGTGATTCTCCTGCCTCAGCCTCCCGAGTAGCTAGGATTACAGGCACCTGACATCACACCCGGCTAATTTTTGTATATTTTTTTTTTTTTTAGCAGAAACGGGGTTTCACCATATTGGCCAGGTTGGTCTTGAACTCCTGACATCAGGTGACCTGCCCTTCTTGGCCACCCAAAGTGCTGGAATTACAGGTGTGAGCTACCATGCCAGGCCTATTTATTTATTTATTGAGATGGAGTCTTGCTCTGTCACCCAGGCTGGAGTGCAGTGGTGCAATCTCAGCTCACTGCAACCCCCGTCTGCTGGTTCAAGTGATTTTCCTGCCTCAGCCTCCTGAGTAGCTGGGGTTACAGGCACCCGCCACCATGTCTGGCTAATTTTTGTATTTTTAGTAGAGATGGGGTTTCACCATGTTGGCCAGGCTGGTCTTGAACTCCTGACCTCAGATGATCCACCCATCTCAGCCTCCCAAAGTGCTGGGATTACAAGCGTGAGCCACTGCACCCAGCCTAACCCAGGCTTCTTGGAGGGAATGGGGAACGCAGAGAGCGGCCAGGGGACCAAGAGGACAGAGTGTGGGTCTGAAATGGGTGCCACTGGCTAGCCTGGTGTGGTTCTGCCTCCGTTTCTCTATGTAGGCCTGGGAAGGGGAGTGAAGCCTCAGAAGACAGGTGGGGGAGGGCTCTGGCCCTCCTGCCCCGTCTCTAGGGCTTCTCATAGCCAAGCTGCTTCCTCCTGATGCCCCCTCTGCATGCCGCTGTCTCATACCCACCCTGTCCCTCTCCCTCAGGTTATGGCCACAAAAATGGACTTGGAGTCCAGCCAGGTGAGGGCAGCTGGCCCTGGGGCCGGAGCGGTTAGGAGGTAGGGCGGGAGGAGAGAAGCCTGGGCCATGGGGACAAAGGGCCGGGGTCTGGAGGTCGGCAGTATTGGCTGGAGTTGACATCAGCCTCTCTGTCTCTCCCAGGTCTAGAAGCGGGCATGAAGCCTCAGGTGCCAGGTGAGGGGACTGCCGGCGTCTGTCGCCCCACCTCCCCTAGCCCATGGTGTTTGAGCTGGGTCTGCATGGGACTCCCAGGGGAGGGGTGACCCCTGCTTCATGAGTGAGGAGAGGTCTGTAGGAGCACAAAGGACTGCAGGAAGAGGAGGTGGGGAGAGACCAAGGGCCCCTTCCTGGCCCCTGCCTCCCAGTGCCCCTCGGGCTCAGCCTTACCATGCTCCCCTTTCTGCCCCACAGGCCTGGTAGCTCCAAATGGCTATGGACCAGGTAGGGGCAGGGCTGGGGTTCCAGGAGGCCCAAGACAGAGACTCTGGGTCCCTCACCTGCTCCCTGTCTCTCGACCAGGCTCTGTGGGGGTCATGAAGCCCCAAACGCCAGGTGAGCCCACCGGGCCTGTCCCTCTGCCTCCCCCAAACCCTGAGCTCCCTCCCTCATTCATACCCCACCTCAGCTCCATTGGGACTCAGGAGAGAGCTGGGAGCCCAGCCAGTGAGGGGGTGTGGAGGCGGCTGTCCCTGCCTCCCTTCCAGGCCTCCAGGGCAGGTGGGCACCAAACTGAGGGAGGAGGGGCAGCTCCAGGACTCCTGCTTTCTGAGTTGGCTCTGAAGGGGGAGCCACAGGCCCTTTGCCCCAACCTCAGCTAGAATCCCAAACCCCTGCTCACCCCTCCCTCCCCACAGGCCCCTCAGCCCAGAATGGCTACAGAACAGGTACTGGGGGGCTGGGGTTGCTGGGGTTACAGAGAAGAGGAGAGAGGTGAGGGCCTCTGAGGGTTCTCTTGGGGGCTCCTGCAGCCTTAGGGGGGTAGAGTCTGGAGTGGAGATGGCACAAGGTAGAGGGAGAGGCCCAGAGCTCCACTTCCTAAATTGGGAGGAATAGGGGGCCAGGCGCCAGCCCCCTTCTGCACCCCAGCCTCTCCCCATGCCGCTCCACAAGCCCCACAGTTCCCACTGGCCATGGACCAGGTAGGGGAGGTCGGCATGGGCACCAGGTGAGGGGGCAGATGCTGGATCTGGAAGAGGCCCCTTGTGAGGGGTGCGACATGGGTACCTCACCTGCTCCCATCTCTCCAGGCACTGGAGAGGGCATGAAACCTCAGAAGCCAGGTATGCCCTTTCCACCTCCGTCACTCTCCCTGCGCGCAGACACAGCCTACCCCCTCCACCCTTTTCCCCCCAAGCCGCACCCTGTCTCCCTAGGGTGCAAGAACAGGCTGGAGCTGGAGCCTTCCTGTGGGAAGGAGCCCAGCCAGGTGAGGGAGGCGGGCGGGATCCGGGGCAGAGGGGAAGGGGGATGGGCTCCAAGGGGCAGAGTTGGGTATCAGGGAGGGACGGGGCGGGGTGGGGTCGGCCTGTCCATCCTTTTCCATGGGTGTCTGGCCTGGGAAGGGATCTGAAACCTCCAAAGCCGAGTTTCTCTCTGCCCCTCTTCCTGCTTCCTCCGAGGTCCCCAACTCCAAGCCCACCCTTATGCCCTGCTCTCCATCCCAGGATACACACCAGGGACCCAGCTGGGGCTCCTGTCAGGTGAGAAGTGAGGGCTAGGGAGATGAGGAGAGAGGAGTTCACTACCCCCATGGGGTAGACCGGGGTCTGAACTGGCCTCTTTCTGCCTCTCCCCAGGCCTGCGAGAGAGCTTGAAGGCTTGGAAGCCAGGCACGTTGGGGAGCACCTCCCCACCCCGCTCTGCCCCGCACCTCCTTCTGCCTCTCAGCCCTTCCAGCCCCCACCCCTAGTGCTACCACGCTCATCTTTGCTTTCCCTCTCCAGGATATGGCCATGGAAATGGGCTGCGGGCCCAGCCAGGTGAGGCCACTGGGACTGGGGTGGGGGCCCAGGAGGGAGGGAGAGGGAAGCTGCTGGAAGATGGAGGGGCTCGAGGACAAACAGCAGGAGCCCCATCCCTGCCAGGTCCCTATGTCCCTCCATCCCCTAGTCTCCTGAGCAGGGAATGGCCCGAGGGAGCTGGGCTTTCTCCAGCCTGGCTAATGTCCCCCTTAGGTGACAGGTCTGCCCTAGAAGCCACACAGGCCAGTGGCTTGGCCAGGCCAAGGCCTCCTAGGCAGCGTCAGTGAGGACTGGCCTGGAGTACACACCCACCCCTCCCTTCCTGCCCATCTTAGGTCCCTGCAGTTCGAGGGTCGCTCCACTGCTCCTCCCCAGGCTTCCCACTCCAGGGATTCCTTCGGACAGAGAGGGTGTCTGGGGCCTGAAATCCCAGCCCCCTTCCGCAGTACAGAATGGCAAGTTCCAAGGTGAGTGTGGAGTGGGAGTGCCTAGCTGCCATGTCCGGCTCTGTCCTGTCCTCTGACGCTGAGGCTCAGAGAGGGCAGTGACTTGTCACACAGTGATCTGCTGAGGAGAAGCCTGAACTCTGGCTCTGGGACCCCATGTGGCCCCCAGTATGGAAGCCCTTTCCATCCCTGCCCCATGGCAGCTGCAGCCCCCCAAGTCCTGGGCTGGGCTCACTCCTGCCCCAACTTTTCTCCATCCAGTGGAGGCTGAAATCTCAGAAAGCAGGTGTGAGTCTTTCTGCCCCCAGGCCCCACATCCCAGAGGCACAAACTCTCAACTAGGTCTATCCTCTGTCCGCACACCAGATCAGGGTCACGCCTTCATCAACCTTGTTCCCTAGGCTGCCTCAGCTATTCAGGCAACCTGAGCCCAGGAAGTCCCTCCCCGAGTTGCTTTTTTTTTTTTTTTTGAAACAGTCTCTCACTCATGTTACCCAGGCTGGAGTGCAGTGGTGCAATTTTGGCTCACTGCAANTTCCCTAGGCTGCCTCAGCTATTCAGGCAACCTGAGCCCAGGAAGTCCCTCCCCGAGTTGCTTTTTTTTTTTTTTTGAAACAGTCTCGCTCTGTCTCCCAGGCTGGAGTGCAGTGGTGCAATTTTGGCTCACTGCAAAATCAGCCTCCCAAGTAGTTGGCATTACAGGCATGCACCACCATACCTGGCTCATTTTTGTAATGTTCGTAGAGATGGGGTTTGGTCATGTTGGCCAGGCTAGTCTCAAACTCCTGACTTCAAGTGATCAGCCCACCTCAGCCTCCCAAAGTGCTACGGTTACAGGCGTGAGCCACCGTGCCTGGCCTCTTGCTGCTCTCTAAGTTTCTTCTGGTTCCATTCCCTGTGGACAGGAAAGTTCCTGCTTCCACTTCAGGGTCCCTATAGTCCATCTTTGGCCCCCAAGGAATCAGGGGAAGTCTGGGTCCTCCACACTGACCTCCATTCTCCTCACAGGGCACCAGCCTCCAAATGGCTATGGACCAGGAGCAGAACTGGGTGAGGAGGCCCTTCCTGGAGTTCCTCCCCTCCCTTCCTCTCCTCTTCCTTCTGCCACCCCAGGAAGAGGGGACGCCAAGGCTGTGGCTCTCTCTGACCCCCATCTCTGAGTCACAGTTTTCTCTCCCCCAGGTTTCAATGGCGGCCTCGAGCCACAGAAAATTGGTGAGTCCTCCTGGGCCCCTATGTTGGGCGAAAGCTGGCATCTCCCACATGCCTGAGTCAATCTGTCTGTCCGCATCCCGCTGTCTATGAGCAGGTCACCTGGCCCTCCTGATGCTGTCCCTGTTCCACTAGGCTGTCCCTAGCTCCTCTCCAATCTCTCTCCTGCAGGTTTTGGTTATGGGAATGGTGTCCTGGGAGCCAGGGTCTTCTCCGAGGCCCACCTACAGCCAGGTGCCTGGGGAGCCGGGGCGGAGGTGGGAGCGTTGGGCTCAGAGGCCATAGCCCGGCCTCTGACACCCTCTTTCCTCCTCCAGGGTTCCCTGGGGCCAATGGCTTTAGGAATGGTGAGTCAGACCCAGGGGACAAAGTGCAGTGGGGCAGGGGAGCCAACAGCCCAGGGGCTAGGTGGGAATGACTGGAGTCTCTTGCAGGAGATGGGGTGAAAGCTCTGGTGTACCCCAAAGCCTCGGCTCCAGCCCCTGAAGGAAATGGTAAGAAATGAGCAAGGCCAGGCTTGGTGGCTCACGCCTGTAATCCCAACACTTTGGGAGGCCGAGATGGATGTATCACAAGGTCAAGAGATCAAGACCATCCTGGCCAACACGATGAAACCCTGTCTCTACTAAAAATACAAAAATTAGCTGGTGTGGTGGCATGCACCTGTGGTCACAGCTACTTAGGAGGCTGAGGCAGGAGAATCACTTGAACCCAGGAGGCGGAGGTTTCAGTGAGCCGAGATGGCGCCACTGCACTCCAGCCTGGTGGCAGGGCAAGACTTTGTCTCAAAAAAAAGAAAAGAAAAGAAAAAAGAGCCGGGCACAGTGGCTTATAGCTGTAATCCCAGCACTTTGGGAGGCCAAGGCGGGTGGATCATGAAGTCAAAGATTGAAACCATCCTGGTCAACATGGTGAAACCCCGTCTCTACTAAAAATACAAAAATTAGCCGGGCATGGTGGCATGCACCTGTAGTCCCACCTATTCGGGAGGTTGAGGCAAGAGAATTGATTGAACCCAGGAGGCAAAGGTTGCGGTGAGCCGAGATCGCGCCATTGCACTCCAGCCTGGGTAACAAGAGCAAAACTCCGT